CCCCATCTTACGTCATCAATCCGTTCCAGGATGGATGTCATAACATGGGACCGTCGTAAGTTGAAACCCTATTTCCCTTAAGGTTACATTATGAAAAAATTAATTCGTTCCAGAAAAAAATACTGTACATTTTTTGGCAATAAAATACTGCAATTTAATGTTCAGCTGAATATTATATTCACATTTAAAGCTCCGTTTTTTATGTTTTTAATGTTCAAAATATGATGAGTTCATTCAAAGCAAGAACATTTAATGAATGAAGTCAAGCAGCACCAATTCACCCTGTTTGAAGCATTAACAAAATTTGCTTTTGAAAAAGAAGTGTTGGCAAGAATGAAGAGTATCATTGTTTAGGAGAATTTTTGCGAAAACCTTTTCATACCATGTGGGTACCCACAAAATTAGCAGAAACACACAAAAAAACTCTCTGAGCTTGATTTTTTTCTTTCTCCAGTCTTGAAATAAAAAAAGCAATCTCCCAGTCAAACTGGAAAATTCGAGATGTTTTCAAATAAAATTGGCGGAAAATTTTCATTAATTTTAATTTTAAAATTTGGGCAAGATAATTCAGAAGATTGTCTGCTGATGAAGTGCGAATCTATTTTGTTTTATTGACTCATGCAAAATCAGTAAAATCAGCAAGTTATAAAAACAGCATTCAAAAAAATGGAATGCTGTTTTTATAATGATTTTCCAGGAATGAAACTATCTTTGATCCATCAGAATTTCAAGAAATTCCAAAAGGCTGGTGGGATTCTTTAAACAAATTTTTAAAATTTTATTTTTTATACATTTTTTGCATACAGTATTTTTACATTTTATTTATAAAAAAGTCCATATGTTTAGTTGCTCCTCTCCAGTCCTCAATTAGGTATAGTTATTTTTTTCCCATGGAAGTGCATTATTTTAATTGATCATATGTTTCAAGAAGAAATTTTTAAATTTGTGTGGAGCTGAAGAACTTAAGAAGCTGTCGTATCATGAAACCCTGACGTAAGTCGGGGGTTTTTTTTAATTAAAAAAAGCGTCGTAAATTGAAACCGACGTAACATGGGCCCGTCGTAAGTCGGGGGCCCACTGTACTTCAAAGCAAACCTACAGCATACGTAGTGCTGGGAAAGGATGGTTTATTCCAGCTAAGGGCTTTGATGTTTCCGGTGAAACTAATGAGAGCTTAAGTTGTTGAGATTACGGAAGACACAAGATATTTGCAAGAAACGTGAATGCACCTTTGACACATGATTGAATACTTCATCAACAATCCAAAGGATGTTGTCACAAAATACTGTAAATCATGCAACACGTTTCTTATTTATTTTACCCGAGTAGAAAAAATTGGAAAATGCCGAGTTGGACCACGATCAACGTTCATTGACTCCGTCTGATTTTTCTGCACTCATCGATTGAGAAATCGAATGAATTTGCATGTGGAAAAGGTCAGAACAAAGTTTCCAGTCATCAAGAGTCATAGGTTTTCGTCATAGAATGCGGTGCATAAAATCTTGAAAGCATTTTTTTCGTCTGTCCGTCTTTGTTCCGCCACAAAAGATAATCTATTTCTACCTAAGATTTTTTTTTTCAAAAAATATTTGGCATATTGCAGAGGACTACGAGGGAAAGAAAAAAAAATCAGCAATTATGATTTCGGTGAAAATATTTCTCTGTTTCATTGTGATTGGAAATTTAGTCTACGGATCCCAAAACTCAATGCCCAACCTGTCATTCGAAAATGACACGAACAACAGAATATGGAAAAATTTCGGACAAATTTCGGACAAAGAGATTTCGAAGCAAGATTTTGTGCACACAAAGGAAATCAACTCTACTTTGGTAAGATCTATTTTTTACGCATCAAAAAGTTTGAAAAATGTTTTTAAATCCTACTTTTTTTGGGTGAATAGTTTTTTCAAAGAATGATTTGGATCGACCTCATCTCTAATTTGAAAACAGGAAAAATGCATTGAACCTGACCCTGTACAAATGAAAAAAGTCACAATTATTTTATGAAATTATTGTTCACAAAAAACTTCATAAAAATCCATATTTGAAAATTATTTCAGTCTTTCTTGGGAGGATAAGTGCTCAAACAAGAAAACCAAAAACATAAAATTGACATCTTGAAAACTAGCTCAACTGAACTTGAGTTACCATGAGGTTGAAAACCAACAGAAATCCTATCAGAATTATTGGCAAGTGGCATTATATAAAACAGCTGAGTGACAAACAAAAGCACTGTGATGGAACTTCGTGTGGCCTGCCAAAATTTTTTTTTTCCTTCAACCTGTGCACATACCGATGGCTGAGAATCATTGTCCCTTTACTTGGGGGTGAACCCAACACAATTTGTTCTTCTCATAATCCAGACCCTCTATAATAATCAATATACCCTATTTACCCAAGGTACCATGTTCAACTTTTAAAAAATTAGAGCAAAAAATGAGGTGCGCATATAATCGAGTACAAACTTTCAAGTGTCATTTTTTTTGAAAATTGGAAACATTTCTCCCCAATTCAAAATTATTTCATGATCTATATCTTCAGTATTAATATTATTGGTTTGAAGCAAAAATATCATCACGGGATTTAATTTTCAATTGGGCTTGGATTAAGATTTTTACGCAACACAGCTTTTCAGGCAGAAATTTTTGGAAATGAAAGATAAGGTTCACGTCTTATGCATGGATTTTTCCAAATTCCTCTAGCTATGAAAATCTTTGGTGCACATTTCACTCCATGGCACATGGTACTCAAGTAAATGCAGTATTTTACAAGCATACGTTTTTTTGGACAGGTGGTACCTTGCAATTTGACCACCCCGCAATTTGATGGTTCAATTTTTAGGGAGGTTGACTTGCAATTCAAACTCTGCCCCAGACTTTAACCTGTGTCAGAAATATATTCTTGACAAGAAAGGAGAGCTTAAAAAGATCCTCTTGATGATTGAATGATTGCACAATTTAACAAAATTAAAGAAGCTTAAACCAAACCAATGTATTGAGGAGAGAAAAAAAAAGAAAAATAGAAATAAAAATGCTTGATCAGCCAGGCTGCAGCTGGGACTAAAAGTCCTAGTTTAAATTGTTGTATTTCTTTCCTTTCAGGATTGAGAAAAAAACTGTAAGGATGAAAAACACAAAGCAAACTCAGAGTATAAGTATCTCAAAGACAAATATTTTTAAAGCATGTGAACACAAAAACCTGACTCTCACAATGTCTGCTCAACACAAAAACCGAAACTCAATTGATTTGTCTGTTCTTGAGTGGTAACCAGGAAAACTAATTCAGTAGAAAGATGAATGCAAAAGGGTCCTTGGTGTTCAAGAATTTCCCAAAGATAGCTTTGAAGGACAATACATTCAGGAGGAAGATTGCGGGAACTTAAGGTCAACTCTAGTCCCACAAGATTCCTTCAAGGATTAGCTGGTTTTGCTTATCCTTGCAAATCTGTTGTTTCTAAACACCTCTTACTTTTATTTTTGACAACCTGCCTGGGCAATTTTTATTTTATTTCTGTGCTAATATTTCTGAAGTTTACAAAGTGTCTCACAATTTGACCCTAGTCTAGCAATGCATTAGGGTTGAATTACAAGGTACCAGCTGTATTAAATATTTAAAATAAATTTGATTGCATGATGACGTGGTGGCCAAAGGATTCAACCAGAAACAGAAGGGCAAAACAATTTGCAGGACTCATGTGCAACAAGGGATGCTCCACCAATGCTGACTGCTGGCTGCGAAGCTGCAGTTTCTGCGCTTACAAATCCAGATGTCTGGAGCCGAATTATTACTGCAGATTGCCTTGCCGCTTCAATACTGATTGTGGATTGGGAGGATCATGTCCGTATTGCGTATTTGGCTATTGTACATACTAAAGAAGGGACAAAATGAAGTTGGGACTCTGCAAGCCAAAATTCAAGGGACCAATGAAGAAAATTAAGATGTAGAGAGATTTTGAGTTGGCGAGGTTAGGAAAACTAGGTCTGAAAATGCTTCCTGTAAATTTTCAAAGAAGTGATTGGGGCTTGAATGTTCGCTGAAGTTGTGTGTAATCTCTTCAAAATCCTTTCCTTAATTATTCTCACCACAAAAAAAAAGACAAAGCGCTTAAAAGCTTCAGTGTAAATGAGCATACAGGATGCAGAACCTCGATTCATGATTTTTATGGACCAATTAAAGTTGCTCATTCCCCTTTCCAAAAGCATTACCATTCGAATTCTTGTCCTTCCTCGTCTTAAAAAAAATTCGAATTAAGGATGTTTCCAGATGGTTTCGAGTATAGGAGGTTGAAGTTACATTGTTTGAAAGGGATTTTGCACAGCAGTGAAAAGAAAAAATTAGAGTGAAGGAGTCCAACTGTATTTGTGTTTGAACAGATTCAAGAAAAACGCGGTCATTTAAAAAAAAAACAATTTTTAATTCCACTGCGGATCCGACGAATGAGAAACAGAAATACGTTTCGTCATGGATTCTCATCTGCAATAGGGCGAAGTGAAACTGAGACGAAATGACTTCGAATCCTAGAAGTGATAAATCAACAATATTTTTCCGCTGTTTATTTTTGAATGATCCCAAGAAGTCCAGTGTAAAGTACTGTATCGAGAAATACAAAATGGAAATTGTGACCTACATTCAGAACAGAGAATATCCTTATGTAATCATGACTGAGGAATATAGGACTCCCTTGTATTTTTTACAAATTCACCCTGACATGGATTTACATTGACGAAAAGCAATAATTCAAAAAATAAACGGGAACTACATGACAGGAAATAATTTCAACCATGACATGCTTCACAATCGGTAGCATCGTGCTTTTCCTGATTTTTCTTTCAAACTTTAATAATTTATGCATTGACGCAATTAAACTTTTTCTGTGGAGCAAAAAATTACTGCATATTATGCATGAACGTCCATCTAGAGCTAGAAAGTTTTTTGTACTGTATTTATTTCTGCTTTCCAGATTCCCATGACACTGAACTCACTCGCCAGATAGTTTTCTGATGATCAATCATGAAAATGTACCTCGAAATCGAGGATTGTTGCAGCATACAGACAATTTTGATAACTCGAAAAGATGGAAGGCCATGCTATATATGTCCCAAATTCAAAATGAAATAGGTAAAATCATCGTACTTGAGTAAAACTAAAAAAAATTCAAGTGAAAGCTTCCAAGTGTGACGATCCTGGAAAAGAAAAGAAAATTCCACCTTCACTCGGGATAAAAAAAAAAGTAATTTATTTTGTGATCATTTTGAAGTTTCTTCCCTGAAGAAGCAATGCGCCCTATTTTTTTTTATTCGTTCCTTTTGGTAATGAGCCAACGTCACACGGCTTTTCCATTTCTCTCCCGTATAAAACATTCAAAATTTTCGGAATCAGAACACATGTGACGGAAATGGGGGCAAAAACCGCTCCCCTTGTCGCAACATGACAAGACAAAAATTATGCTACTGATGCGAAGTCCCAGAAAAACTACGGTCTATTTTCAGCACGCAACACGAAAATTTCCGACTGAAAGCCATCGAAAAATAGGCTCACTTCGGGAAATAAACATAATAATTTTGCAGTGTTGCCTTTCAAGTTTTCCAACTTATGCAGTGTTTCTTACGCAATCGCGGATTTTCACAACATTTTTCTTGACGATGATGTAATAATACCAGATTCTGTTCGTCCACTCGAACAGCTTTCAAAGAGAATGAAAGTGAGTAGGCGATAACAAAGGGAGACCGGAAATAATTCAGCCAGGTTTCCATTAAGTTTTCTTTTCAGCATTTTGCGATAAAAGGGGCTTATCGAAAGTTCTAATAGCGGGATAAAATAAAATTCTTGCACGCCTGGTTCAGCGTGAAGCTTTCATTTGAATTCAAATGTAATCGAAGCAAATTTAATGAAGAATGTTCCAAGTTAACTGACTGTCAGGAAATAGCTGCACTCACAAATTTCACATTCGTGCGTTTTTTGTTGTTGAGAATTTTGGACGTTTTGTGAGAAAAAAATTAATATTACGCGCCACAAAAAATTGTAGTGCGACACATTGGAACAAGTATTTTAATCTAATCTTGATGGAAGCTGTTGTTTCGTCTCTTCTCTGATTTTTTTTATCATTCTGTAGCTTGAAAAAGGTTAATTGGTCCTTTTAAGAGGTTGTACCTAGCTGTTCAATGGGCTGAATATCTAATTAATTCCTAAAACGAAATATTACGTGTGCGATAAATTATCTATCATCAATTCCGACGATGGTTTCTTGGAAATATCATAAAAATATTATTACCAATAATATTGAAAAAATTGTTCATACTCGAACAAAGAAAGCAAACAAAAATACCAACTAAAATTGCATTTGATTCCAATCCTTCCCTAGCAGAACCTCGGCAACCCAAGTAGCAGAAAGTCGAGATTATTGTGGCTCTCCATGTGCAATAAACAGTGCCAATCTTCCAAGGACTGTTGGCTCGGGACTGCATATTTTGCAATAATCACATTAAATGTTCAGGACCCGATTCATTTTTCCAAATGCCTAGTTATTCAGAAGAAGACTGCGGATGAGGAGGATATTGTCCAAAATGTTTACTTGGTTATTGTTCTGAATGACAACGTGAACGTTTATGCAAATGCTGTGAGTCCTACTTTTGTACAGGTTGTCAAATTTGACCATAGACTATTTTTTGGTTTTCAACGTGCAAGTAATGAAATGATAAATAAAATCTCCGTCAATGTGAGCTCAGTTTGGGCAGGCCCTGGAATTTATTTTCAGAATTTTTCTTACAAGAAATATAATTCGTATTCTTTATTGCTCAGCACAGAGTCCAACAAACAAACGCAGAATTACAGCATTACACAATTACTCTCATGAATGAATTGAAGGGTGTTCAATGCACATTTCTATAGTTTTCAATATAGTTTATTTATATTCATTTTATTCACAATAAAAAAACACTCAAGCACAATAAATTAGCTAAGACTTCTTCTCGCACCAATTTAAATTATCTATTATCAATGAAACAGAGCTTTTCAATAAATTTACATCATTATTCATACAAGTGACGACTAAATTGTATAATTTCCTCTCTCGCATATAATTGGATAAAAGCTGAATAAGCCTCAGTATTCATGGATTCCGAGTAGAAAAATATAAGATTTGAAAAAATTGCAGGTAAATCAATGCTGGAAATCTATTAGGAATGCCTGAAACTCGAGAGAAACGTGTTCCATGATTCCCTGATGTCATTTTGAATTTATAAAAAAGAGAATGCGAAGAAACGCGGCAAACAAAGGCAAAGTTTCCATTGATGGCTTATGATTTTCAGTTCTTCGAAAGGAAAAAAACGTGTGAAATGTCCCACCGAGTCTCTGAACAGATTTTTTTCCAGTATTTTACAGAACAAAAGAAAAAAATCCTTCGTGTTTTTCAGTGAAGCAAACTTGGTACGAACATAGGAATTCAGATCTCACAATATATTTCGGACATACGAATAGCAACAGCATTCAGGTTCTCGTCGCAGAAATGTCTCCCAAATTATTCGTGCTAATTGCAGTTCTTTACTCCCCCTCCATTTGCAATCCCAATGCTGAAATGATTGAAGCACAGCCTTCCTTACCAATCACACCGGTTCAACTGGACAAACTTCAAGACATAGATGAAGATGATGGGCTCAATTCGTTATTTCTTGTTAACCAAGACTGGCAGGTGAGTTACTTGAGTTTTGCAGGACTTCCAATTCTTTCATTTTTCTCACACGCTGGAAGTAATTTATCTGAAATGATGTCAATATGCACCTAGAGATAATTTTAGGAAAACATGTACTGTAATATGGAACAAGCATGTAATTTTTCAAAGATTTTTACTCGAACTTCTTCATATTTTACATTAATTTCTGTGCCATTAATTGCCATATTTACTAATGATTTTCAAGAAAACCCAATGGACCGAATTAAATAAAATAACTTCACAACAATAGTAAAAAAAAAAGATTCATAAAAAAAATTCACGCGAAATAAAACAGCTCTCTCAAAATTAAACAATTGAGTATGAACTTATACAGAGAATCGAACTGTGTGTTGCAAAGGTGGCTTGGAATCCTAGTCTTCGTGACAAAGCTCAGAATTTTTAAGAAATAGGAACCGACTGTTAATTTCCCCTTTCAAACAAAATTGATGAATATTTTTCAGGAGCCTGGTTCACCACGAGAAAAACGACGCATTACAAGGAAACAATGCTGTCAAGGAAGATGCACATCAAACAAGAATTGCAAGCCCCCTTGTCGCTGGTGTATCCGCGGAAGATGTCAACGGTATTTTCGATTTTGGGGTCGATGAGTTCAACATATATAAACAATATTCCTGAGAAAATCACTCAATCGGATTCTGAAAGATTTTCCGGGATATTGCGACGATGGAAATAAACATTGAAATTCTTTGAGAAGACAGAATGGAATCTTGTTTCTTTCGGTTACGCGAGAATTGCGCAAATTTTGTGCAGAGCTGAATGAGAAGCTTCGTAGGTCCTGAAAATACGAACATCGGTCGCATAAAAAATATGTTGCATTATACTCTCTTGATGGTAAAATATCTTGAAGATTCGCCAGCCAACTTTGAAAAAATAAACGCCTCCAAAAATATCAGACATCTGAAATGAGCCAATATTCACTGACCAAAATACATGATCCTTTTAATCTGCTAAGTACTTTGAATGGAATGAAATTTGAAAAATTTTATTCTTGCCGTTAAATTGAAAAAAAAAATCAGTTGAAAAATTAACTGCATATGGTTTTTGGTGATTGTTATATGAGTTCTCCATTTTCAGTATTTGAAAGTCTGTCTGAATTTGTCGCCCAAAAAAAGGAAAATAAGATGGGAAAACTTCTGAACAGCAATTTATTTCAATTTCACGGTAATTTTAATTTAACTTCCGTCATGTCAAAGGAATCCTGAGTTTTATAAATACTATGAAAAACGTATAATTGAATGTACAATAATGGAAATCCTTCAATAATGTTCGACACAGGTGAGCTGCTGGTTCAGTCATTCAATTACGTCAAATTCAATTATTCAAAAAGGAGTTTGCAAAGCAACACAGTCAACAAAGACAAAGTTTTCATTGATGTGCCTCGGCATTCAGTTCATTGAAAGGAAAACGTGTTAAATGTCCCACCGAGCCTCTGAACAGAATTTTGCAAGTATTTCACAGAACTATAGAGAAACAAAACAAATTGTTCACGCCTTTCAGTGAGGCAAACTTCGACGACCCTCCAGTATTCAGATCCCAACAAATATTTCCGACATAGCAGAGGATTTCGTCGCAGAAATGCTGCCGCCCAAATTATTTGTGCTAATTTTAGTTCTTTATTCACCCTTTATCTGCAATACAAAAGCTGAAATGACTGATGAAGCGCCATCATCTTTGCAAATCGCGTCAGTTCAGCTGGACTATTTTCACGATTTTGACGAAAATGATGGATTTAATTCGTCTTTTCTGGCGAACCCAGACTGGCAAGTGAGTTTCTTGAGTTTTCCATAAATCTCCAGTTCTTTTCTTTTTTCCTAGACACCGGACCTAATTTTTCAATATTGTCAAAATCCACTAAGAGCTTATTGAATAGATTGATCCAATGCCGAAAATGGAAATGAAAAGCCTTTGGTCGAAAAGTGGGCTCTCACAAAGTCAGTTATACGCGCATCATTTTAGAGAAAATTGTATGAAATCTGTGAGAAAAAAATGAGAATTTTACATTCTTTTTTATGCTAATGCTCAAATTTATTAATACCTCAACTTAATACCAGTATTTTTAACTCTCTTCGAGCATGATTCTTGAGGAAACCACACGACTGAATACACAGTGAATAATACCGCTGCTTTTAGATGGTGAACAGAAGTCATTGAAAATCCGAATGCATGTAATATAAAAATCCAGCTTTTCGTCGAGCGTCCAATATTTTTTTTTAGGAAACTGTGTCTTTTTAAAAATTAGACGATCAGACAACTTGGCTGGATAACTGCGTGTTGTCAATACGATTTTTACTTCCTCATCTTCGTTGAAATGGTCGCTCATTTGAGACAATGGAACCAATTTCTGAATTCTTCCACACAAAAAAAAAACTATTCAACTTCAATATTTCTCAGGAAGATGCTTCAACTCGAGACAAACGAAGTAGTGTTTGGAGTCGGCGTTGTCGACGAAGATGCAGATCGAACAAGGATTGCCAAATTCCCTGTCTCTGGTGTTCGAGATACAGATGCCGATCAGCGCTGTTTTTCAGGAGAAATATTTAAATCAACGACAACAAAATCGATTTCTTAAAAACTCCTTCATTGTGGCTCCGGATTCACCTCCTGCATTTTTTCTCTGACATTTTCAAAATGAAATATATATATTTATTTGCAAAGAGAAAATTGTGCCTTCATTGTCTCATTTGTTCAGGTAACACAAGAACTGTGCTATTATGAATGAATGAACAGAACACTTTATTTGCCGCTTTTCAGCATTCACAACGTTTGTATATTCGAGTCGGTATCGTTGGAAACGACATGGAAATGAAAGTTTGATTTTTTTTAAACTGATGATAAGATAATTAAAATCAAGCGAATCAACGAAGTTTTCCAGGCTCACGATAAAATATATGTAAAAATTAATTTAAAGTACAAGGTCCTCAGCTTGTTTCTGCATGAGGTTTAGTTGAATGAACAAATGAGAGAGAATCTTTGATGAGAAATCATATTAAGCCAACAGTTTATCTTGATCCTTTATGATTTCAGAAAGGGTCTCTTCATTGAATTCCAATACTTGTATGTCTTTCTTAAGCTTGCTTCTATCAATGCTATTATAGTGCTGATAAACATAACAATCTGTGCGCATATTAAATTTACACAATCACATTTGACATATGAAAATACTCTTTTGCTGTAAATACTCTACTACAGTATATCTTAGTGAAAAACGTACCAACCAACTTTGAAAAAATATCAGTAAACACTTTAAAAATATTTGAACACATCAACTACGCCAAAATTTACGAACATGACTACAATACCTTTTCTACCGGGTGCAGTCCTTCAGATGAAAGATAAGCGAGTTGAGTATTATTCGAAACACTAGATTGCAAAAAAAAAATAGTTGAAGAGAATAATGCAGAAAACTCACAGCACACGGTTCTTGGACCGCAGCATAATCCTTCAAACAAACAAAATATAGTGGCTAAAAATCAATTTAGCCAGCATGCGCCCGAAATTAGTATGAACTGAGATTCATGGATATACACTAAAAGTTAAGATGTTTCATTTGACAGCTGGACCATTGAAAACACCTCAAAATGTTCCCTGTTGTCCATAAAATCGAAAAACCGTACTGTAGATTTATAAAAACAGTCCGGCGATTTAGAAAATCGCAGACAAAATCTGCGAGGCAGAAAAAATCCCATGTTTGTTCCAGCGGCTTCAACAAGACATCTTTATATATTCATTAAATATTTTTTTCAACGGAAAAAAATCTATTCGTTACGTAATTTCTCAAATAAACCCGAATCGTGAGCCTGGAAAACTTCGTTGATTCGCTTGATTTTAATTATCTTATCATCAGTTCAAAAAAAATCAAACTTTCATTTCCATGTCGTTTCCAACGATACTGACTCGAATATACAAACGTTGTGATACTAATCAATAATATACTGGACACACTCCGAAGCGATAAAAAAATCATTTGTTAAAAAATATGCCCGGAAGAACTACCGAGTCGGCAATTTATTCAGCTTCCAGACGACACTGAGAAGTCACAGTCTCTGAAAAAAATAGGTCAATTCATTCCCACACGCAGCGAAACGAAACAAAAATCGACAAAAGCACATCAGAAGGCATCCAGGAAGGCGATAGTCCAACTGGCAGTCCGCCGGAATTGATGATTTTTCGAAGACCGTCGTCAATAATTGATGAACCCCCCCCTCGGGGCAAAACGGAGGAACAAAATACTGTACTGCACTACACCCTCTTCACCATTCATCCGACATGGCCCCCACACTCGGCCTCCCATTGAATTCAGAAACAGCGATACGAGCTGAAACTTAATCCGGGAACGAAGCGGGTACAAGAAAGATTCCTTCGGATTACTTGGAAGTCGGCCAAGTACTCGCCAGCACACATACACTATACACATCTTGAGAAAATGATGAGCATGAAATATGGTCTCTTTATTCGCATATACAACCCTCCACAGGGAAACTCCCCTTGGGGGGAAAACCGCGAGAAAGGAGACAGCCCTGCTTGAAATAGTTTCCGAACTCAAGAGATAAGTATTCCAGCCGGGTTTTGCGAGAGCAACAGGCAAACCCAACAGGGGTAAAATGCATATTTATGTACTCCAGAATCACCACTTTAACAAAAATAAATGAACGTTCTACAGACAATCAACAACACTCATCACATCCATATCCTCGAGCACCAGTCACGTTGAGTATAACATATGTTAGGAATGGTTTAGTAAAATTGAAAGTTGAGCAAATTTGACAAATAAATTCAACAAAGAATTTGGTCAGGCTGTGACCAGGGTGAAGCTTCACCCTATTTTAAGGTTGTTGTATGTACTTTGAAATCACACAAAATGTTTGCAAGTATTCTTGAGTGGCACGCACAAGAGTTCAGGCAGAAGTGAGTATTTTTGATAGATTTGGAAAACAAGAAAGCTGTCCTTCAAGGACAAAAAAAAACAGCAACAGGGTTTAGCAATAAAAAATAGCCTGGAAGGCTTTTGGAAGGAGTGTGTGAACAAAGGTCTTTCTTGGTTCACACAGAGATGAATGAAGGCAAGTTTTCTAGGAATTTGGGTTCTCAGATTTTTCGTGACAAATTGTATACTACTGTTTATTTTTGTGACATAACACAATACTGCATTAGAAAACCCTATGGCCTATGCGAATGTTTTTTAGGATCACATGCACGAGGGGTTACACGTTTCCGCGCGGACTTGAAATGATCCGAACACCGGAGATTTTAAAAAACATTTATCTCGTTCACCGATTTCAAGAGGCTAGACAGACACCTTCTCAATTTAATCACCACATATTTGTACACACTTCTCAGCCCTTTTGATCCAGGTGCTGAAACAGGCCACAAAATGTTCAGCTGTTGAATTTTGAAGTTCCCCCAGAACAGCAGCAACACGCTAATCCGCGCGGAACCGTGTAACCACTCGAACATAAGCAAAATCGCTGCTGCATTGATCATACATTCTTCGTACAGGTAAATGCAAAAATGTTTGTCCACACCTATACTCTCATCAAGACAAATTTTCAAAAGGTCTTAGCGCTCACATTGTTTTTAAATATACTGAATAAAACATGAAATTGTGGATCTTCTTCCAGATCAACAAATCGTTTCCCGAAGATAAAACGCTTCATTTATGAAAGTTGATGCTGAAAGTGAAACTTGCAGAAGTGATTCATGCCAAAAAAGTGAAGAAAATAAATGTAAAACGTGAAGAAAATCTGCCTAAGTATTTTGTCATTTATAATATTCATGCCTCAACAAATATTCAGCATTCTTTCGTCCGAAAATGCAATAGAATAAAAAGCTTTTGAAGAAGCACGATTTCATAGCAACATGATTCATTCTTATGAGTTAATTAGACGAAATTGGGTTATTAAATTAGACAAAATGTCATCGAGGATCGCTCTAGTGAGGGTCATTTTAAAACGCATTTTCTCTGGCCTAAATTCGAAAAGGTATTGCTGAAGAATTTCCGGATAACGAAGGAATTTTTTCCTACCGCGTTTGAAGACAAAATGTCATCGAGGATCGCTCTAGTGAGGGTCATTTTAAAACGCATTTTCTCTGGCCTAAATTCGAAAAGGTATTGCTGAAGAATTTCCGGATAACGAAGGAATTTTTTCCTAACGCGTTTGGGATCAACTTCACTGCGAAAATTTTCAAAAAATTGGAGTCAGCAAAAAGTTTGACATCTATATTCATGAAACGTCAGCAGCTTTTCATTCAGTTGTTCCCCTTCCGGTGTGTCATATTCTAATTTTATCCCGAATAGGATATGAAGCAATAACTTCACTTATTTACACGGCCATAACCTCTTCCTGAATGATTTGAAAACCATCAGACATGAGAGTGATTCTGCGAATTGTTTTTTCAGAATGATCCACTGGATCAAGCTTAAAAACGCATTCGAACACCAGCGAGATGAAGTCAGTGTTTCACATCCCTTGAATTGACCAGTCACCCACTGCGAAACCGTGTTCTCGTAAATTAAAGAATTGAAAAAAAACATGAAGGGTTGCGCACTGATCATTTTTGCTGCTTGTGTCGCTGTTGTTGCAAAAGCTGAGACCACGACGGGTTTCCCGAGTCCAAGCATGCCGGACACAACAACTGACTTCTCAACAATTCTGCAAGAAAATTCAGCCACCACCTCGAATGACTACGTCGAGGATTTCAGTAACACTATGGAAGCTACAGAAGCAAGTATTTCTTATGTATTGTACATTGGTTTTCGACCATAATTCCAAGGAACCCTTGGGAATCCCACCCCCAGGGGATCCGCGGTCACTCCGAAAGGGACCAAGAAACATTATCAGGATACAGAAGAATAATAACGACAAAAGCACAAAATCGTAATTTGTTGACGTTTAAAAGGGATATTTTGCTCATGAAACATGATGCCAACCCTCTAAAAAAAATTTCTGTTACTGAATGAGGCCCAGCTCCATTTTCAGACACCATAAATTGGACCCTAACCCTAAAAACAAGTCCCGAATAACTGTTACGTTACCTTTCTTCTGCTAAGTACAACAATTCACTCCGCTAAAAGTCTTCTCAATCGCCTGAATTATTTTCCCTTTGATCCAAACTGTTCTACACATATTCATGGATTTCATTCCTTTCCCAAAACAATAAAATCCGTCCACCTAATAACCGTTCGCACTTTTTTAGAACTACTTCGATGCAAGAACTCTCTCGATTCAGGCTGGAAATCGCACGTCTGAAATTCATGGTGAACACCATGAATAAATAATATAAATTAATTCTTCGCAAAAAGGGCTTCAATATACAAACTGATGGGACCAAAATGGGCTCCGCAAGTTTAAAAAAAAGGCCAGGGAAACTCTTGACTGACATTCTTAATTTTTTTTTTCAAAGGTGACAGAGGGTAATTTCGTGTGTGCCCAGCCCTGCAAGGCTCACGACGAATGTTCCGGATATTGCAACTTCTGCTTGTTCCAACCCGCACCCGGGATTCATCCGGAAGGATACCCGAAGTTCGAGATTAATGACGGAAAAAAGATACCCGTCGGGGTCTGCGTCTCCATCGACAACACAGCCGAAAATGAGCAGTAATTCAGAGTGAAATCATTCCGGCGGGGAAGAAATAGGCATGAGTTTGTCATGAAACTGGGTATCGAATGATTTGAAAACAATAAAATGGGGTTGATTCCGAAAGAAAACTTCACGCGTTTAACCTTAAATCATCAAGGAATAATGCAAATTCCTCGGAAGTTGAATAAATATGAACTCTCCATATCAAGTACCTGAAGTTGCTCTGTTTCTTTGTTCATGATCGGTTTTTCGATTAAAAAGCACATTGAATCATCATTTTGACAAACCTCCAATGAGTTTCGTTTCAGCAACTCCAAAAATACGTTGAAGGATTTCGAGTTGGGAATATATTTTGCGTATTCTGCATTTAAGTGTCTTCGTAAAACGTCGGCATTTTCCCGTAGCATCACTTATTTTATGGCATTTTACAAACCCATGCAACCGCAACCAGATTGTTTTCATTAAGTACGGTACTAAGAAAATACATGATCCGAATATTCTAAAATTACTGGATTTACCACACCTATTTTAGTCTCCAATTGAAGAAAATTGGTTCGTGCGGCATATTTCTTGAGAAATACACTATTCAGGGTCGAATTCAACCTAACCATCCATGAATAATAAAAATTCGACCCATTACGTCCGGGAATTATGTTTATTGGTGGCGTTTTGCGAATGACGTTTCCTCGAATACCTCAAGCCCCATTTTCCTGTATATTTTCAGGGAATTTACAGAACAGTTCGTCGCGGTTCATGCAGAATTCGAATAAATTACTGTCATTTGCGAAGCAGACATTGTTTACGAGCCGAAAACATCATGAAGAGAGCGGCAGTTGATGAGGGGTCGTAACCCGAATGACACAGGTTTTTTGTCCTGGGAGCGATTTGTTTCAGACTCCCTGAAAGCTGGCGTTTATTTACAAGATGTTACACATTTTTTCTGTTGTTCATTTTTAGGCTGTACGGTGCCATGCATTTTCCGCTAGAGCAAAAAAACTGAGATCAATCACAAATAAATGGGTTCCGCTACAAAAAATACGAATCAGATGGGAATAGTCTTCGCATCCCATACTCGGCCCTCACCCATATTTTCTTGAATAGGGGATTCCTGAATAACTAAACAAGCCAAAAATGACCGAATACCACTGTATTTTAAATTAAGCTAGTCCGAATTAGCATCAGGTAACACATCTTACTCACTATAAAACAAGGTGAGGATGACCTCTAGCAGTAAACTTGCGCTGTTTCAAGGAAAATCACACTCACGAAAGTCATGCGCTGAATTTGAAAAAAGCAGGTGTTGAATTCACCAAACATTGATTACTGTCGAACCTGCTTCATGTCCTAGATAGATACTTTTTTGAGCGATCGATCACGACAACCAAGCACACATAAAGTTTTTCTGGGACTTGACCTACGCCCAGATTTACATGCGTACCACGGAATTAAAAATTGAAATCTTGACAAGAAAGGCACATTCAACTGGAATTTTTCAGAACTGAACTGGCGTGAGTCTATCGCCAAGTCGTTTGCAGCACACGATTAAATCGCAGAGCATTTCACCTCGAAGTATCGATCCGAAATGATCCATAAGGCTAGGAGAGATTAAAATGTATCCTCTGCAAGACATTTTCGAAACCAGAGCATATTTCGGCATTTGTTTTTGTCGCCAAGAACACCTCGCGAACAGAACGAGTTGGACCAAACATAGTGAAAAAGATTCAGTCAAACCATGCACAACTGCGTCTTTTCCTCGTTCCTTCCGGTAATGGGAATCCACCTACCATGAAGATCTAATGGATACAGGAAGCCGTCTTCAGAAGGTATACGTCCAACGATCGGACTCATCACATCCTGGAATGACCGACCGGAAAAACAGAAACGCTTTGAAGAAAACACGATACTTGAGGGAAGAAATTCACTTAATCTTTTTTTTTTTACATTGAACATATCCGCAAAATTCATCATTTCCTCATCGGAACACGGAATCTTCAGATGACACGCGATCGATGGCGATCAGTGCTTCGTGAAAATGTCCCTCAATCCATCGATTTCCGGTAATCTAGTTCCCATCTTCCTCGACACATATCCGCATGAAGCTCGTATAAATAATCCGGTAGTCCTTCCGCTGATGTTCAATACGTTCTACTGAAGTTTGATTCTTGGGCCGAGGTGACGTGCGCAACATTCGAGTGTCAAAGAGTACATATAGAGGTATACGCGAAAATTGGTGGTGGTCTTGGGCGCACTCGATCATCATACAACATCCACTAATAAGGTTGACACTGACAGTCAGTCAAACACGATAGAACCCACATTTCGCCATCTCAACGGATTAAAACTGTGCGCATAATCGCCCGATTTCCTGACGTCTACAAATTAATATAGTCAAGCTTTTTCTGTTGAACACTTCATGTACCAGTTACGCGTTCATGCGGTTTGCAGCATTATTTTAGTTCGAACAACAGAACTGATTTGAGGAATTCTCACTTCATAGTTTTGTTCAATGCTTGAGACACGGATTGGCTACTTACATTCTCGAAACCTTCTGAATTGAACGTTGACAACTATACAAGAATGGAATTCCCTTTGATTCTTTGGTGGTTTGTTATTCAAGACGTTCGCTTTTTCGAGTCATACACTTATCCAATGAAAACTTTTCAAATTTTCGACGATAACACGGAAAGAAACCGTCTTTCCGCGGGATGGAAGTCTTTTAAATTGAAAACTGTGTTTGATCTTGAATTAAAAAGGCAACACTGTATTATCAAATGCTTACAACGAATAGTTGAACGAATGTTGATGCCAGAATTGCATAAATTTTTATATACATAGGCAGTAATACCTAATTTTGTTGTGTTGTGATGAAACATTGCTAATTGCACTTGTCACGGTGTATGACACGCTGCACTGGCACGGACATATTTTCTTTGAAAGGTTTGCCAACACGAAAATCAAAATGATGAAACACGCGCTCGTTTTCCTTGCGGTATCCATGGCATTCACGATCGCGAAAAACGTGGTAGACGTAAATGCCTTACCAACAACGTCTACCGATTTTCCAAGCACGGGTTCCGCGAATATTGAAACCAGTTCGGTGAACGAGACGGATGGCACACCAACTGAGAAGGTGAGAAACACTTCCACTGAACTGCATCTCTACTAATCCTTGAGTTCTGGTACCTCAAGCAGATATCACTCAAATCGATGATTCCAAACGAAGTACTGTACTGTATACAAGTAATAAAAACTCTAAGGAGAACTGCCTCGTTCTCCCTTTTATATCTGGCAGGTGACTTAGTTGGGGACGATGTAACCAGAAGTCGAATTTTTTATAAGGGTTTAATGTCTCTTTTAGTTGCACACATTCCAATTCCCTTGGGTTCATGTGCATGGGTTTGGTGGCGAAGTTTTTGAGTTAGGGAATATGGCTTGATGCCATAGAGGTTGATCAAGCGAAATGCTTTTCTTGCACATTTATAAAAAAATTCTCATCATTCTTAAATTTCCTCTGTGCATGAAATTCTCAAGTATGCATAACAATAAAATTTACATATTTCCTGGATCAATGATTCTAAAATTTAACCCCAGTTCAACAGCAGAAAGGATCTTGAAAATATCACAGGGAGATCCGAGACAACACGCTTTGATTTCTAGGGTTTAAACTTCAGGAGATCTGAGAAATTCAAGTTATGGCGATTTTCGACTTCAGAAATGTTGATATGACAGGTTTGAACAGTGCTGTACACCCCATATTTAACACGTATTTTGAGTCAAGGAGGTTGAAATTACGGATCTCTCTTTAAAAAGGAATTTTGATAAAAATTCGAGTTACGGGGGTTTTTTGATTGAGAGAGGTTCAATTTAATGAGGTCTAACAGCGAAATTTCAAATGAATCCAAAAACTAGTACTATTCCGACAATCTCAGGCGAACTTCTGCTTTTAATCCTTTATCCCGGCAGAACTTCGTCGATTGGGATTTGAAACTAAGTGCTTTGACTCCTTTTCCAGAAGAACGGAGCTAATTCCGGGATTTGCGCATCCGAATGCACCCAGCATCTGCATTGCGAAGGCGAATGCGACTTTTGTCTAATGCAACCGAAACGAGGAGAACGACCCAGACTGATGACCAAGTTGCACAAGCCAACTGGAGAAAAGTACCTACACTTCGTCGGAACGTGCGTCAAGATTGTTACGAACTCCACCAAACCCCAGAATAGAATTTTTTAGTTTCAATCGCTAAATTGATGACGAAAACATGGATGTGAGTAAAGCTGTTCATAAACTCACCGCAGACTTCTCGACATTTCCGTGAAAGCTTGCTATGGGCGACCGGAAGTTGAAGAAGACGTAATACTCAAACGACTTTGTAATAAACTCAGCGGCACTTTTTCACAATTCCGCAAAACAAACTTGGCTTCACAATAGCGAAATCAATTCCCGAGCTGACAAAGAAAAACACACACTTTCACAAGTCCACCTTTTTGGTAGACATCCAGGGATTTCCGTAACTCGCAACTCGCTGTTTTAGCATTAGCAAAAACGCTGCGTCGACGCGGCCTTGCTTCGAGCTCAGGTCAACCAGTTTCATGAGCAAGTCGTAGGTGACCTCCTCGCCCATTGTCTCCACGAACCACTCGACGAGGTCCCGAGGCACGTGGGGCACGATCAAAGAACGTCTCCTTGCATTCGACCCAATCTCAACAGCGGCTTTTAGCACCCCGAGTGCAAAGCGCATTCTCGGGTCGAAGTGCGGATCGCGAGAACCCACGGTAATCCGTTTCAAAAGCTGGAAGAGTTCCTCCAAATTAGAACCGATTTCGGAAACCACGGGTTTCTCTTCTTTGGTATCCTCCGTGACGTCCTGAAAAATAAAAATGAAAAATCGAAGGTCAAAAGGCAACTTTCTGGGAAATTTCAAGTCAAAATCTCAGCACGCAGCGATTTGAAATACAATACGTCAATCTGACTTCATGGATTTAAAAAAAAAACACGTTTTCCAGAGCAAAAAAATAAAACTAAAATTCACGCAACGACATAAATCGCCAAGACTTCTGTCAAAAAATACTTGAAGGAAATAATGATTTCGACACGAATTTTTCTTTCCATCCCTATAATAAATGTACGCTAATGAACAAAATCCGAAATGAACATAAAAAGAAATGAATGTGACGCTCACCTCACTGCTGGCACTCCTTTTAATCTTCATTTGAGAAAACCCTTGCGGTTGCGATGCAAGTCGACAGTGAGTTACAGCAACGAACAACGCAGCTAGCCGATTTACGAACGGTGCACTCAAGTAAGAGATCCTGCAGGAAAATCGGTTTCAATGTGGTCACAAGCTCAGAACTCTCGTATTAAGCTTCCAAGAAAAATGTATAAAATTTACCGTTCAGTGGAAGTGATGAGCAGAGGCATCAGAACGTCCACGAAACTTGTAAAAGCGCTACCGATGTCGATATGAAAAAGGCCTACCATCATATCCACCAGTGTGTCCAATTCTTCCGAAAAAGGATCTTTGAAAGTTTCCTACAGGAAAGAAAGCCAAGCAAGCCTTGTACCAGCGAGAAACGGGAAAACTGCAACGAGGGTTTGTAACACATACAGAGCTCAAGGTGCAGAAACTTCAAGTCTTTGAAGATACCCTTACAAAAAATCACGTGAAAACTGCACAAAAACTTTATTTTTTAAGTTCAATACAGGATATCAGTAGAAAAAAAATTAACTGAAGCTCGTGAAGTCGTAATTCTAAAAACCGACATTTTTTATATGTTCAGAAAATGTAGTCGAAATCATTGTCCTTGCACTCATGAAGTGAGAATGACTCAAACATTGAAACTTGGTGGAATAAAAATGCAATTATAAACGGTGAAGTTTTCCGAGCGGAGTTTTCAACATGAAACATACGCAAGCATGAAATGCGTATCACAATACAATTTATGATGTAAAAGACTCGTTCAGGTTAGGATTTCAAGAAAAAAAAACTGAACTTACATCCACCAAAGTCCTTATGAACCATTCAGCACCTCCAGAACGCCATAGCTTCAGAAAATGCTCAACAGCACTTGGATTCATTTTCACGTTCGATTTGCCTGCCATCATGGACCGCCACAATTCAACCAAGTTCCCACCACAACAAGCATCGTGAAACGCACTTTCCAGAGGCCCAAGATCTTCGGTTTCTCGGAGCAACGACACCTGATTAAAATTTAAACTGATTATTGAACTTCATGGCATAGGGAAAAATGTGGTATTGTACCTTTATTTTGTTACATGGACGCTGATTCTTCAGTGCATCCACTTCGTCAGGATAAAGCCGCATTTCTGAAGTAACCTTCTCAAAAAGATCCATTTTGTCACCGAAAACGTCGTTTTTTGCATTTACGCCGCTGGAGACGATTTTCAGAGCAGCAATCGCTTTCTCTTTATTATTGCCATCGTCGGAATTCTACAGAAGGGAAAAATCCAATTTTACTTCATGAATCTGCTGAAAAGACTCCAGGTGGACAAATCACACCTCAAAATAACAGTAATGTAGTTGAAAAAGTTCTAGACCAGGTTGGCACAATGTACATTAACGAAGTCGAAACGCAATTTGCTCACTTTGCCTACTTTCAACCAAAAATGCCGAATTCATTCGCACATGGGAAAAAAGGAACCACGAAGGCGAACAACAAACCTTGACTTTGGCTACCAGCCAAGAATAAATGCATGCACTTGATACGGCTGATTTTTCGCTTAGTTTAGCGATCAATCTCCCGGCATCGCTTTCCAACAAGGCACCAGATTCCCAGGCAGCAAGGATTTCTTTAACTGCCGCCATCGCAGCCCAACAAAGCTTCGTGGAGGACCTACGAGCAACATTAAAAAACCACTTTGAAATTAATTTTCCTCAGAACGAAGAATGTCGCAAGAAAAAATCCTTTCTTCAGCTGTTCATTCACATACTTGGAAAAGTTAAAAATACAACGATCTTTGAATAGTTCGACACATTTTACAGTTTTCAGAGCGGTATAAGTTTATTAGAAAAGAGCTATACGTTTTTAGAAATAAAAAATGTTCCCAAAGCAAAATCAGGGGTGGAAATTTTGCGGTAACAGTTGGTGCTCACTAACTTTCTTGAAGAGCGACGAAAAATGGAATAAAAATGTCTTCTCAGTTCTGAAACACAAATTTAATATACGATTAAAAGGAAGGATTGAAAAGCGAGATTTCAAGAGCTGCTTTGATTAAGCAGACAAGAACTGTGTCAAAAATTTATGACAATTGTTTTCAAAATTGCAGTATATCTGAGCTTGCTCACTGTAAACAAAAATTACAGTGAAAAACAAAAAAAATAAACTGAATCTTTTCTACTTGTTACCTCCCACTTGAATGGAGTTTTGCTAACTCATGCTAAGACGAAAAAAATTACTTACATAGTAGGTTTCAAGTCACTCAAGCTGGAAAGTTCACCAATGAAAGCATCAAGGGAATCCATGTCAACGTAATCTCGAAAAGAACGAATTGCTTGAACCCGCGTTTCCATCCATGTCACGAAGAAGTCATAGAATTTCCTCGGACTACTAGGATCCGTCAATCGTCGCGCTGGATAACTTGCCAAAGCTCCAACAACCTTGAACATGTATGACGATGAAAATAGAAAAAGACAGAAGGAAGTGGATCGCTGAACAAGCGACAATTTTCCATTCGAGCATTCGAAGAACAAAGTTTGCCAATGATTCCGGATTCTTAAACTTCGAAGTTCTTGATTTTCTTCGCATTTACACATGTTTCCCTTGAGATTCTTAAAAAATCATTTAAAATAACTTTCGGTTACGTGAAGTTTATTTGTCAATTAGTCACGTTGCGTAGCACGCTTACAATTCAGGAGACATCAGCACAAATTGAAAAAATGTACGCTGCGTTATGAAGAAAACGAACCCACCTGTTCTTCGGCGACGTAAGAAAAGAGCGTCAGGAATAGAAACCCGGTCTCGAACAACGGGTTCACGCAACCCGAATTCTCGTTGACTTCGCACGAGGAAACGCAGAAATCAACAATCGGTTCTAGTCTCCCCGTCACAGCAGCTACTATCACAAATGGTGAGAGTTCGCCGGAATTTGACTTCAGCGTAGCCATCGAACCCAATACAGTTTCTCTCGATACAGATTCATTGCTGGACAAATACGCCACTATGCTTTGCAGCTTCGCATCCAACGTATGCAAATGTGCAGCGAGATCTTCTTTGGTCGGTGGACTCAGTCGCACGTTTCTATAATACATTGACCAAGTGAAACGGATTGAATCACGGTCGATAAACAAACTCCCGAATGAACAAATACGTCGACGCATCAACGCAGACCGGACGAACGTTCTCACATTGAATCAACATTCTTGAGTCGGATTTCCATCGCCTTCCTCTGTGTATCGGATCCGATCAATCGCTTCTTTACGCACTCCTTCAAGAACCCATCGAGAGGTTCAGATCCGCAATTTTCTTGAGCACGAAAAAGCAGAGCATTGAGATTCGAAACTTCCATCACGGCGGCCTCCAATTCTTCGCATCTTTCCGAAGCTTTAGAAAATATGTGATTTAAAAAAAAAGAATGAGCTAGAGGAAACTGGTGTACTGTACTCACATCTTTCACAGAAGCCTGCATTATGCATGGACTCAAAAATCATAGGTAATTTGTACTGGAAATATACTAGCTTCCTCGAAACCGGTGATGAGTCCGAATGTTGCAATTGCAGGAGAGCTGCACAAATAATGGATCGTAAAGCGTCGGTTCCGTTCAACCCCTGGACACAGAATTCGAAAGAAGAAAAAAAAACCATGATAAACCGCAGAACTCAAAACTGACGTGAGGTGAACTGTCAGCAGTCTTAAATCCAGCAAAATATTACCTTTAATGTACAAACATTTCCAAGCCAAAGTCCACAATGAGCGGCATCTGTATACAAATGAGCTTGGATCAGCACAGCCGTGAGAGAGACCAAAGCACACGGCGCAGGTCCAGGATCAAGTTTTGGAAGCAACCTTTCTGCATCTGCATTCTCGGAATCCAGATCTTCCAGTTTTGCAACACAAGCCTTCAGAATATCTGTCGACGATTTCACACCTCCAGATGCGTCTCTTTTCACTCCTCCAGTAGTGAGAATCCTGCATTTTTTTTATAAAATTAAATATGGACGTTCAGAAGACGAACACTTTGCCCGTTAACATCAAGCGATATTCGATAACTCAAAAGTTACTATACCATGGAAGCCTTTGCATTTTCGGACAGCCTTAAATCTTCAGTTAGAATTTGAGAATATTCCGAAAAAGGTAGAAAGGAATTGCTTGTGCCAAGAAAACCCCAATAAATAAGTAATAATAACAGTATTCTTCTGAATTCCACCCACAACCAGTTCAAGTATTATGCGCTACTTCTTTATCCTCAGGTTCGCACTTCATACACTCAAGTAGAAAAAGTGTAAGATGACTTGCTGTAAAATCATGATAAACTTATGGCAATCAGGAGAATCTATCGAATCCATTCATCGAACTATTTGGAAAATCGGGAAAATTGATGCTGCATACAGTACTACATTTCAGACGACTTAGAAAGGCCTAAATTAAGACTCACTTGAACTTTTTCGACGCGAGCTTTCGCAGAGACGTTGTGAGTAACTTATCATCTGCGGCAGCCACACGAATCAAGTTCGCACGAAGCTCATCCTTCATGAGAACCAGATGCAGAAGACCAGCGCCCCGATCAACTATTCGCGAATATTCCGATGACTGTTCTTCTTCTAAACGCGTGTATGCAACGATTAAAACACGGACGACCCAGTCGACCATAGAAAACAACGCTTTTGCCTCTTCCAAGCAATCTTTTCGCTGTGGGCTTGTCATGATAGGCTGAAACCACAAGACAATATGGTAAAGTGAATTACATAATAAATAAAAATACTCACCGTCGATGATACGATATCAGATAAAAGCTCGATCAAGGCAGCCAATCGCCTTCTCTGCCGCGGCCCTTTATCCGTTTCAGATACCGGTTCCAGACTCACAAGCCTTAGCAAAGAAGTCAGCGAAATCACTCGGCATAATGTACAATATTTCAGGTATCCCAAGAAGGTCTTGTTGATTCCAGGCCCAACTACAGCTTGCTTTAGCAAAGCCTGTGCTAAGGCAACACCATCTCCAACTTCTGGTTCGTTTCTCATTACCTGTAACGATTCAATCTTAGTGAGGATATGACACATATTGATGGATCAGTGCACCCTAACCTGACGAAGATTCACGCCGAACTCCCAGTCGGTCCATCTTTCACGCCATGCTTGGATTATTAAGGATAATGAATCTAGCGAACCAAGCATGATTGAAAATTATCTGCAAGACGAAAAAAGAGAACATCAAATCTTCGTGGAAACAGAATTCTGTAATTTAAAAAAAGCAACAGATAAACATAAACATTCCTATATTATCCGTCAACGCTTGAGAGTCACGGAGTGCCAAAACACAACAGAAAACGCTAAAAGCAATTTGATACTGCGATGAATCGACACAACGCAAGAGGAATAATCGTGTTCATTCACTTAAGTAGCCACAATACACTTTTCTTTGGTAAATTTTATCTTGCAACAGGTTTGATAACTTTCAAACTTCTGGTACGCTTTCTCCAGAAATTTGCGAATGATGCTCACACACGATAAAAAAAAATTGCACTTGCTTATTAAACCGTGTAGTCACTGGATTGCATGTAGCGGTTGTTAACCGCACTCTGACACGGAAAAAGCCAAAGCCATACCGAACCTCTACCAAAAACTTCGGCAAGAAGAGCCATTGCTGGTTTCCGGAAAGTGTTCAACCCGTTCCCCTCTGACTTGCTGATAACTTGCTCTACGGCTGTCGCATCGGAAAGAATCGACGAAAACTGATCGCACATGATCGCGGCGACAAAAAGACCGAACAGCAATGCTTCCAACACCAAAGCAACCGAATGAATCCTGAACGTAGAAATACTTATTATTTTACTTCGATCACGGGAAATTTTCGACTTACACTCTGCTCTGCTTGATCACAATTGTTTCTTCGCGATCGCATGTAATACATGGTGGCGCGAGCCATGACACGCCAACCAGTATCACAGCGTAAACAGACAAAACTCCGATCCAAACAAGGAATTGGATGAAATATTTCCGGTTCCATTCGCCAACACAATTATTGATCCTGCAGAAAATCACGGGAATCAAATTTTAGAACACATAGCTATTTACTAAATAGATATGATTACCAAGGACAATGGTGGTCCATCTTCCGAACACACCGCTTGCAAATACGACAGTGATGGGCACGCGGAGGACGATATGACTCGCATCGGGAACACATTGTCCAGTCCACATCCCTCATCGTTTCTCCACCTGCATCCCACTTATCCGAGAAGTCTACCCTAGTCTTTGCAAATGGAACGAGCCCAGGGTCCGAGAAAACTGCCCGAAGATGCGAGATGACCGCTAAGAAAGTCACCGTGAAAAAGCATACCGCGTTGAACGGTCCCCACATGCTGAAAAAACTTATCTTAGTTGACGAGCTGATTCGTACTTACGTTAGAATCTTACCTGGCAATCATGGTCTGCATTATGATCCAACGTAACACAACATAATCGGCATAGAATATTGCCAAGTACGTCAGCATTAAACAAAATACACCGCATGGATCTTTCCTGAACACAGCCATGGTTACCTAGCATGCTGGTTCGTGGGAACACTGGAAACCGAGGAACAAATTTTTTAGAATACCGTTAATCATACTTTGTTCAGCGGCCAGTTGCTTTAAAAGACAAGTATACACGTATAGTTCCACTAGTAAGAGGAAAGCACGCAGTACAAATTCACAGCACGAACCTCACGCGGAAGACATCGTCGCACATCACACACCTCTCTTCACATGCGGTAACTCGCGTGTGCTGCGAAACAAGATTACGCTCTCAAGCTACCCGTTGGGAGTCGGTGTATCACAGAGCTCAGCGCTTTCTCAAGAGTTCTAATGCTCAATGCTCAGCGTAATGCATCGTGCCGGGTTAGTCACTATGAACTATGCTGGAGTACAGCAATGTATCACACAGTACTGTATATCCGTAGACATATTTTGTACTGAATAACGTGTACCTAATACAAAACACGACTGAATTTAATTTGAATATGTAAAACTTCTTTTATTTACACCTTGTGAACGGAGAAATAATTGTTTATAAAACTCCATGCGGACATGAGAATGCAATAATAAAAATAATTTTTGCACAGTAAGAAACTTATTGCTTATTTAAAAACATTACTGCAGTATGTTTCTGGATAAAAACCTCATGATAGCATTCATCAACTTGGGTTAGTATTTTCTTCTACTTTGGGGAAAATTATCATCCAACAAAAGCAAACATAATTCATTAATTGCATGCTCATGCTGGTTACATGTAACCAGCATCAGCTTAACAGCAGCATACCAAGCTAGCGATGAATACCCAAGAAACAATTTCAAAAAATATTTAATTTAATTCATGGCGCTGTGGAATTCCGTCAAACAAGATTCAATAAAAGGTAGCACTTGATTATAACGATGTAGTAAACTAATAAAAGTATATATATAATCGTTTTCAAAGACCTTGTCTTTATTCCCCTAAATCTGAATGAATGATTATTTCGACTCGTTCAATGAGTCATCATTCTCATCATTGTGATGCCTTTCAATGTTCATCAATAACAAAAAACTGACCAATGCTTGTTATCATCACCGTTCAGGCATGAAAATTTGTTGTTCAATAACTGAAAAACGCATCACGTACGTGAGAAATTTCAACATGTGAACATTTTTTAGTTTTAAAAAATTGAATTGTATTATTTAGTGCAGTGTTTCCCAACTTATGGTCCACGGACGTGACGGACCTGTGCCAGTCCACGGGGAATTTTCAGCATAAAAAATGCATCAGAAGATGTAATGAAGTGTGTTTTTGTTATCTGATAGTTTGGAAAAACAGTAGCAGTTGAAAGCATCTGATTAAAATTTTAAAAATGGCCTTTCCCGTAATAACACTCAAGAATAATTCTCACCTGCTGAAATAATTTATTTCCAATTTTCTTTCTGGGAAACCCTTTTTTAAGCCCAGCTTTCCAATTTTTTCAAGAGATTGCACCATAGCTGACCCACTGGCTCTTAATTTAATATTTTAAATAAACGTTTGGTTTGAAGGAATTAATGGGATGTACTTGAAAATGTTCTGCCATTTAGCAATAATTTTATGGAATGTTGCCGATTTGCAGAAAATGTTGCAGAAATTGCCGGTCCGCAGAAAATTTGTAGGAAAATTTGCCAGTCGGTGGGTCCAAAAAGGTTGGGGAACACTCATTTAGTGCAATAAAATGAGTTATATTTTCTTCTTTCAGTGCTTGATACAGTAATACGCAGAAAATTACAGTAGTTCACGAAAAAAATGGCAGCATCCACCCCTCCACCCATGAATTCAGCCGAGATCGTCTGGCATCCTTGGTCCATATTTCAAAAACTCAACCACAGTCACGTTGCGCCAACTTTGCAGAGAATTTGTCCATCTTGGCAGGAACTGCAAGAAAATATTGACAGACGGAAATTAGTTTGATGCGTGAGCGTGAGAGGAATGAATGACGATGATGGAAAACATTTGCAGTAAAATCTTCATTGTTACAACAACTTTTGGGTACTTTCTGATTATAATTTTTGTGTCGTGGCACTTGCCATTCTTTGATGCCGTCGTGATGGCGGAAATCTTGCAGAGTTTGATACTGAGTGGCTGACAAATGGCACTGGTCTGCCAGGGAGTCGTCCCCAGTGGCAACCCTCACGTTTGGGTCGTCGTAGCGCACAGGTAAGCTCTCGAAGTGGGCGCCTGGCCCAGTGCCGCCTGACAGCGGCGACCCGGCGCCTCTCATCTCCGTCTCCTCATTCCAATCAAAAGCTGATTCAATGAACATCAAATAAAATACATTATTGTGTGATAAAAATTGTCATGTAAAAAATAAAAAATCTGGAAAGAGGAGAATCAATTTAAAATAAAAAATCTGGAATGAGGAGAATCAATTTAAAATAAAAAATCTGGAATGAGGAGAATCAATTTAAAATAAAAAATCTGGAATGAGGAGAATCAATTTAAAATAAAAAAAAACCTGGAATGAGGAGAATCAATTTAGACAAGGTTTTTTCCAGTGGAATAAATTTTGAATGACAGGTGAAAAATAAGTCCCCATTTGAATTCCCCCAGAAGCAATGCATAAAAAATCTCCCTAAACTGGCATGCTTTTCCTCTCAAACCTCCAGGAGTCACATTTTTTCATCCATTTTGGCTATTGTTTTTTGATGTATGAAAGAAACAATCAATAAAAACGGAATTTGATGTGTTTTGAAAGGATGTGAAAGACTAAATTGAACAAATGAACCCCTGCCTCCAATTTTAGCATCCTGTCAACTCATTTTAGAAGCAACTCAAGGCCCATAATATCACCATCTCCAATTTTTTACAATTTGTCTATGCTTCCCACAACAAAAATGCTTGGTTCCATATCTCAAACCTCCCTAAGTTGAAGCCTTATAGGGACACGAAAAATGTCAAAATCTCCCTTAGTCAAATTCTTTTGATGGTCCCTTGAAATTCGACTCAGAGAGGTTTGACTGTATTCATAGCGGATTATAAGACAATATTTAATTAATAAAAGCAATGAATAAGTCAACAATAATGAAGGCAATTAACTCACTTGGTGGCTGATCCATGGGCAACATGCAAGTGAATATGCAGCCATTGAAGCAACACACACTCTTGTCCCCAGGGCATTGCTCGTCGCTGTTGCACCTGATGAGTTCCCCGGAACAGTAAGTGGCCTTGTTGATGGGGTACGCTGGTTGAGGGCACCTGTCTTGGGGTTCCGCATTCTCCATGGTTTGCTGTAGGACGTGATGCTGCACTGACCGTCTGCTGGCACCGACTGGTTTCTCCTTTGGCGAAAAAACCACCTCCTGAACGGAAACATTTCCGGTGAGCATTGATTTTGAGGCACAGAAAAATGGCAACCAATATATGAAACGATATTTCTCTCCTCTTGGATGTCGAATTTCGCGTGTCGAAAAAATCTGCACACGCGAAAGGTTTAAGAAAAAAATTTATGCAAACGCATTTTAAAATGCAGATCGCTGTGAATTCTTCTTGCATTTTCAAACGCTAAAGGATGAAAAATCCCCGAATGACAATAAAAATTACAGAGTGGACCACAGCAATTCACTGAGATACACTGTATACGAAAATATGTTTGGAATAATTAAAACTTTCAACGTACACGGAAACAAGACCGCAGTTCAATATTTTCTTAATTTCGAAAAACACAATTTTTAAATTCATAAAAACATTTGATTGAAATAACTTTTCTAGAAAACTTGTGAAGGACCTCATTCTAATCTCATACAGGTTTCCAATAACCAGTTACTCAAATTGAGACATATTTTTCATCTGGGAAAGAACCTACAAAAAATTATTATACAGTAGTTTCATATTTTCTGTCAAGAATACTGTATTATCTTGACAAATAACGATTTTAAAGATTGAGTAGAGAACTTTTAAATAAAATACACAAATTTGGTTGGGCCGCAACTGGGGTGAAAAATCACCCTATTTTAAGGTTGGTGTAATTTGGTTTTTATGCACAAGTTTGAAAAGGTATTGATTTTGCGTAGATCAACAAGAAACAACGCACACAAATGCTCAAATTGGAATGAATGATTTTTGCCAATTTAGGAAAACAGGAAAACTGTCCTTCAAGGATAAAAAACAGCAAACAGGATTTTAGCAATAAATACAACCTTGAAGGCCCAGAAAGAAATGTGAGAACCAAGGTCTTCCAAGATTCTCACAGAGATGGAATGAAAGAGGAGTTTTTTTTTTACTGAGAATTCAGGTTCTCTGATGTTTCCGTGACTAATTTAATACTGTCATTGAAATATTCGCGACATTGTCATAAAACCTCGGAAAAATAGTTTAGCAAGTATTTCGTTCTAGTACAAAAAACTGTACACTTGATCCATGACATTCCTATATAGGGTGTCATTTCAGTTTCCTTTTCCGACGTGGCAATGAATAGAATTGGGTTCAAAATCAAAATGTACGAATTTAAATTATTTCTCGGAAATAAATTTTCGTACCGTATTGTGAAACTTTCAAGAGTTCAGCAAACGAATATAGTATCGCTTTACGAATTTTCTTCCTGCACTAACCACCCGAACTAATTATCCGCTCGTTGATTATCGAGTGGAAGTTCCACCAAGGGGCCATCTGGGTTTCTTCTTCCATAAATGCATTATTCATCATCTTCCCTTTTTAAAATACGGTATATTTTCATTAGCTACATGGACCGGGTTTCTCAGCTGCTGTATATAATCCCTGGGAAGGCTTAAACAACGTGCCAATCGTCCATCCTACAGCCCAGAAACCGACTGGAAAGGTCGAAGGAACGCGCCAGAGCAAGCTTCCTTATTATCCCTGGAGCTTCCTGTAAACAAACGGTAGTTTCTCAGAGGTTGAAAAGGATCGAGTCTTTGACCTCTGGGTTACTTCCACGTTGTGTCCTGGCTCTGGGCCAGGTCTTCCAAGCAGGTTTAATCCGGAGATATGAAAGTTTTAGGGGCTTGATCACATGAAACATTTGTGATGGGGGACACTTCCGGGTCTCTGGCCAGTCAGCTGTGAAAAACTTCAGAGTTATTTTTTATCATAAAAAATAGACAAATGGAATAATGCTTATGGTTCAACATGAATACAGGTGGACTGTCTTTACAATGTAACTCAAGGGACCAGAAGAACATTTGTGGAGGAGAGAGTTTTATTGTAGAGAACTCCTATAACATGGAGATATAACCTTATATGGAACCCAAAAATTTATTGGGTTGCAGAAAATTGCTTTTAATCATGATTGTGGTTGAGAGAGTCCATCTGTGTATATAAATTTGGAAATTAAAAATGTACATGTACATAATAATAATTTTGTTCCCAATTGCCAATGAAAATGAGTAAATAAAGTGAGTTTCATTTGACTATAATCGTTGGAGTAAAAAGGTTAATATACAGTACCTTATTTTCTCAATTAATTTTTGAAACCAAAAAATCTCAAGTAAAAGCCCACGGTTCCTTTGTTTTTTCTCAATTCAATCCAGTCTTTTCTGCATACTTTTTTTTTTTTTTTACATGATCAATGAATGTCTTCTGCAGTTTCCTGCAAAGAATGTTAAAAAAAAACTCCTCTTCAAACCAAACACCCAGAAATACCGCTTTATTTACGCCCCAACTTTTCAAGAAACCTTGACATTCCAAAATATTAAACTTAATACTGAAAACGTGCTTCTGAACTTCGGTATTTTGCTTTCAAAGTCATTTTTATCTTCAAACCCAAAACAGCGCTGAATTCTTACTTGAGAACAATGACATTTCGATCATATCAAATGTCAACAAACTTCGGGTAATACTTTTGTGGCTGACTGCAGCTCAACACGAGCTAAAGGCGATAAGATTTTTTTTTTTTTTTTTTTACTAATGGTTGACGAGGGAGAAAAATCCTTGCTTGAAGTTCATTGCTGATTATAATGAAAGCTTCCTATGACTGCAATCAAATACTTCATTGGCGTGCTTTTCAATGCACGAGTATGTGTATCGTAAAGTATGCATTACCGAAAAATTCCGAGCAAAAAAAAAAGGTATTCTTTGGCACTGAAGAATCCTCTAAATAAAGGATAAAAACAATCAAATCAACTTTTCCAGAAAGCTTTTACTGCTTATCACGAAGATCGGGATGAACAGAAAAGGCTGTGATGTAAGTACTGATGCCTCGCATCAGAACGTTGACGCCTTGCTTGTCGCCACATTTCATCCTTGGTTTGGTTTTTTTTTATTTCTTTGGCTTTTTTTAAGGAATGTATTTCACTTGTTTCAATAGGCAGTCAACCAGCTGTTGGACAACAGTACTCGGGCACAGCTCCACTCACACAAACACGAAACCTGACGAGAGGGGAAAGAATCGGGTTTCAACCAGCAGTTGAACCTCAAGAGTATTCTTGGCCTTTCCTGAACGCTGAAAATCAATTCTGGAACAGTATTCACGTTTCTTCGCCATGCTCTTTCTTCATTGAGATACCTTTTTATAGATTTAAATAAACGGCTTAGCTAGAACCATAACAAATGCAAAGAAAACTGAAGTCCAAAAAAAAATGTTCAAAAGAAAACTCTTTAGATGCCGCTTGCAGATTTTTACATCACTCAGTTGAAATGAAGTTATTTGCTTTTGCAAGCTTAAAAGTGAAAATTTTCCTAATCAATGCAGAATATGTGGTCAAAGATTATATCATATGCCAAGTTTGTTTTTGTATATGGGCCATGTGCATCAATAAACATTTTTGGGAAATATCGACATTCTGAAAAATTAGAAACAAAAACTGGCCCTTATGCACTTCTGCTGCACAATTTCCAGATCTGGAATCACAAAAGATTTGAAATAATATGGATTTTTTCAGATATTCAAATTTGTGAAATATGAGAAAAAAGAAAATGATGCAAATCTGAATTTGTTTACTCTGTGTTCTGCTGCACTTTTGCTCCCTATTTCTCTCTTTCTTTGAGTTTTGATGAATGAATGAATGAACAGAATGAATGAACAGAATGAATGAACAGAAAACTTTATTTGCCGCTTTTCAGCGTTCACAAGACACAACCAAAACTCCCGCAGCCAAACCCCCTCCCCACCCAACTCAACTCCCCCCAAGACATTCAATCACTTCATATCATGAAACAAACCACAAACCAATGACAAAAACAGAAGAGAACACACTCCACAAAATAAACCAACTCCCCCCAAAGTTTTGATTGATTGATAAACAAGCTTTATTATCTGCTTTCCAGCATTTACAAAGTTCATTTAATGTTCCCACATCCAAAACCCCACCCTTCCCCACCCACATCCATCCCAACACATTCCATCACATCAATAATAGGTGAAGTAGAGAAATAGGCTATATACATGGGTATAAACCCTTGAACAGCAGAGGGTTCCTGGCCATCCTTTGGCAAAGTCAGGATTTGGGAGGGGGGGGGGGGCAGCACATTTCAGTTTGACCCATGATCACTGAAATGCGCCCAGGTTGGGAAGGCCTACGTTTGGAAAAATCTTGGAAGAGTGAATCCTTTTGAATTTAGAAATCTCTAATGCTACTCCTATGCAAGGAATTCCTGAAAAAGCCACCTGTCAGTGAGGATTTTTTAAACACATTTTTCTGCAGTATTATTAGAAAATATCAGACTTTTTCCTGGCTTAGGCCTTGGTGCAAAATTGAATTTACTGATTGTCAGTGCTCATGGGCACAACATTTTCCAAAAATATCCTAACTTTTCCACACGAGGGTTAACAGAAAACAAAATGCATCACTAAATGTTGTATTGGACAACTGATCTAAATGCACACCTCCCTATCAACAAAAACAAAATATCAGTAATATAATTACAGCATAATTAAGTAATATAGCAAGTTCTTTTGTTTTAAATTGGTAAAAAGGGCAAAAGGGGTCAGGGAATTATTGTCAACTAATTGACCTCCTCATCTTCCCATACTCATTCAAAAAGGGAAAAACAATACCGAAATAATGAACCAACCCTTTCCTGCCCCAACTCTTCCTTCCTAAATACAGTATGGGGAAAATCGCAACAGTCCTGAGAAAGCAACAATTAATCTTTTGGAGCTGCTTCGGTTTATTGCGTTTTTATCGCGTCCTTCTTTTTACGGCTATGTCGCCATTTACGAGTGCGACCGACTTGGGATTAATGTTCCAGCCCGAAGTGTTCTATTCGTGCCCTGAGGTTTCTTATGCGTGAACTGCCTTTCATTATAAATGTATTGAATGTGGACACTTGGGTGTTGCCAACTAACGGATGACCAACTTCGGAGAATTTTTTTAAAGCACCTCTGTGGATTTACTGGCTCACGTCTGAGTAAAGCAATGAGTCTGATCTTCATTTGTTCATCGAAAATAAAATTTCCTGAGAATTTGTCGCGCGGAAGCGTCTTCTGCTAAAAAAAAAGGCAATATGTTATCCGAAAAATATTTTAAAGCGTAAATTATACTCAGTAGTGTTATTGTACGTTGTAAGCATTTTTGAATAGCGTAGAACTTGCACTTGACTGAGCTTGGATTTATGTTTCAAGTGCCTTTCATTTTCTTCTCGTGTGCTCGTATCGTATCTTTGAAATGTAAATACCACTATACTCATCCTTGATTTTATCGCTGAGAAACGTCCTGATTTACGACGTCATCTTGGAAAAGAGCACAGTATATAAATTTCATCCACCTTCAGGCATGTTAATCTTTATTTATATTTCCAAAGGCAGATATTTTAAATACTGTACAGCATTATTCTTACTGCTGCTGCAAATTGCCAACCCCTTATACAGTGCGGATATTATTTTTAGAGCATGGTAAGATGTGATCATTTGATGACTCCTCTTGAAGCATGACTCAAGCATCCATTTGAGGTGTTGAATCATCCATTTTTTCAATTGGTATCCTATTTCCTTTATTATATATAGATTCTCTCTATACCAAAAAGTGTACTCGTTTACGCTTTCGAACATGGCTTAGTATTTGAAATTATTTGGAATTTCAAATGTTGAAAAATAAATCAAGCATTCTTGATGAGGGGTTTTCAATGGACACGTTCCCTTATTAAACATTTCAATGGAAAAAACCTTAGTTTGTTTCTCAACTTATTATTGTGCAATACAACATCAAGTCACCAGATACATTTGAGCCTAAAGACTAAAATTTTATTGATTATCAGATATTGGAAACAGGCCTTCAACAGTTTAAAGATAAATCATGAATGAGGTGTCAATATTAAAGACCTAATTGCCAATTCAGAACAGCTTCAACTATCATATTTTCATAATCACAGGAACATTAAGCATTTCGAATGATCCTTTCTTATGCGCAAAAAAAACACAGCTTCTGATAGACTCGAAATTTAATCAGATAGACGTAATCAGGTAATCAAAGTTTATTGGTAAAAAAAGTACAATATTGCATGAAAATAATACTGTTTCTCTGCATAAGCCAGCTAAGCTGCATAAGCTTTTTCATATTTGTATCGCACTGCTTCGGCCTACACACATTTTTTTCCTCTCCAGAAAAAAACTCAAATATACAAAAATTTGGCCTATAAATAATAGCCCTCTGTGGCTCATGATCGATTAAAAATGGCCATTCAAACATCAATTTTCAAATGATATTGCCGATCAAAAAAAAAGAAAGAAAAAGCAATGAAAGCGGTCTAACCTGCGGGATTCGTGCCATGTCCTGCTGCTCAATACTGAGTCTCGGATCGACGTCTTTGGTAAAATCGCCGGCACCGGAAATCCGGCACAAACAACCGGAAATGAGCACGAAAAGAAACACGACCTTGGACAAGACGGAGACACTTTCCCGGCGACGATCGAACGCCGTCAGGGCGACGCCGTCATCAATCCGCGTCATTCCCTCGCGATAAAGAGTCTTGGAAGACGGAAGAAATTGACAATACACGTAGATATAAATGTACAAAATAAAAATAAATAAAGCTGATGCGAAAATTACGCAGATTTGTAGATCTATAGAAGCCAGTGCTGGTCCGAGCCCGACGCTGGTTGTCTGACGACTGATGATGCGTCGAATTATGAGCGCCGTGTTTGAAAAAGGAAACCGCGCGCTCTTGGATGAGAATGCGAAGTCTTAAACCGTTTTTAACCTTCTGTTATCAACAGGGTCTGCAAACTCTCTCGGAAACTTATTCCGTATAAAAGATCAAGTACAGGGAAATCTTGTTACAACACAAAGCCATTGGGAAAAGAAGTAGCTTTGTTGTAACGAAAATTTTGCTACAGAGTAACTCATTTCACATTGTGGCTATTGAGTATTGAGCCAGGGACCTAAAAATTGAATTCCTTGATCATTTCGAGATTCTTCTATATTACAATAGAATGCATGAAATTTTTTTAGTACAAGTGGGCTTAGAGCCAAAGAAATAAAAATCAAGACAAGGATTAGGCGAAGGGAAAACCGCATCTACCGCAATTTCGCCTTGAGTTGGCTTTGTTTCATTTTCTTAAGACCAGCAACCCTGACCAAAAATTTAAAAAAGTGTTCTCGTTAAAAATTCAAAGGTAAAGAACTTAAGAAGTTCTAAAGAAGTTTGCACAAATGTGACATATATTGAAAGAGAAAACACGTAACTGAGCTTTTTCAATTTATCATAGGCGCCATTTTCCTCTAAATTAGGGGCAAGAACGGGAATGTGAGGTATTATAGCGTATATTTGAGATTTTCAAATCTATCAACACGCACATAATATTAGAGCTCAATCTATTTTTCATTTCACAAGCAGAGACAGTGTTCTGGGCCAATTTTCTACAGAAAAATTGAAATGTACTTCTTACATGATAAAACAATGCCTTCAATAAATTTGGTTCTTCTTTAACCCTTGGATGGTGGTAGCCTTCTTTCCATCCCAGGGCAAAGATGAATTTTTTCAGTTGGGCCTGCATGTAATTTGTACCCAAGGTTATCCAACCCTTGCCAGGTGGGGAAAGGCAAAGTCAGATTTTATCCAATGGATAATGAAATGTGGCAAAAGTCCCAAGTTGGACTTCTCTGTAGTGACCTTTAATCTGGGCTCCTGGCTTTCCAGTTTAAATTTAATCTTTGAATGGGAGAAAAACACAGGTCCAGGGGAAAAAATGATCCTTGAATATGTAATTTTTTCATTTCTGAAAAAAAGTTCTGTGGAAAATTAAAAAAAATACCAGAATTTTCCTCAACTTTCCCCAACACAAACTTACATGATTTGTTTAACCCTTCTGCAGCAAAGTCAGACTTTTTTTGTGCATATTTTGGGTTTTTGTGCAGATTAAGAATGGTATTTAAAACAAACTAGGACAGTGTGTGGAGGGTAAAGTTAGGACAAATCCTGGTTTTTTTTTCTTTTCCACAGAAAAATTTCACTCAGAAATGAAAAGAGTAAATCTTGAAGGCTCCCTTTTCTCCCCTGGCCTTGTGTTGTTCCCCCATTCAAAGATTAAATTTAAGCTTGAAAGCCAGGAGCCCAGGTTAGAGATCAAGATGGAAAAAAAATCCAATGTAGGACTTTTGCAGCATTTCTTCATCCCCAGATAAAATCTGACTTTGCCCCTCATGGCAGGGGTTGCATAACCTTTTTCAAAAATGTAATACAAGCCTGTGGGGAAAAAGTCCAACTTTGCCCTGGGATGGAAAGGAGGCTGCTGCTGTCCAAGGGTTAAATGTCATTTTTGAGTGCAACCAAAATCTGCAAAAAAAAGTCCAACTTTGCCATAGAAGAAATAATGAATCAATCAGAAATCAAGGACCTGCGCTGCCTTATTGAAGCTGAACATTGTTTTGTCTTGATTCAAAAAATAAATAAATTTTCAAACACAATTTTGTATCTGAATGAGTATGCCTTTCCAGATGATTTGCTTTTTGGAACTTGTTCCCGAATAAATGCGCTCAATGTATTTCAACAATGCTACTACATGATTGTCAAATTCTGTCAAACTAACCTAAAAGTAGTCAGAGCAGTTTAAAATTTGAGAAAATTAAACTAATGGAGGTCAGCAGTTCAAATTAACCTCGCATTGGTGTCTGATATAAATTTATCTATGCAATATTCCCATGAAAATACTGTACCACCTTTCGATGCTCCATCTTTCGAGTGGTACATTCATTTGTGATGTGACACTCAAAGGTATACTGTACTGTATCATACCCTCGGTATTACAGCTATTATACGACGACTTGAAAAGCAGGACATTCTGAAAATATCCTTCGGAAATCCAAGCGTTTAATTTCGCAATTGGAGGCACTCTCAAAAGGGTTCGGGGTATTTCTTCATTCTCATTTCGTTTCATTTTTCTGCTTTCAAGTCTTCGAAAATGCGTCGGATGAATCATTCCCACGTGCTCTGAGTACTGCTGCTCTTGCTGCTACTGGCACTGGTGTATTTTCCTGCTTGCTTTTCCGACGAAGCGGTTCGGATAATATTTGCCTGCCTCTTTTCTTCGCCTCCTCACTTTTTCAAGAATTAAATAAAATAAAAAAGAGTCATGGGGAACAAAAACCAGCTCGACAAGAGAAAATAAATGAAGAGAATGATGCATATGGCCGAAGTCAAGGTCGCTTTGCAATTTTTCTGGCTTATGAACCCAATGTTGTTGCATTCGCCGCACCCACAGAATTTCGCCAATATATTCTGAATATTTTCGCCAGTACTGTACTGTTTCTTCAATGGAGCGAAGGCATTGTTCATTTCCCCGGAAATGGGAATAGGCTGACCGAAATGAGAACTTTCTCAGCTGCACTTTAAAATCCGGCGGAAATATCTCACTGTTAGCTGATGCTGCGTGGACATGTCCGAATTTCAATTTGTAATCGCTGTTTCAAGTATCGAAATAAATAAAGGAGCGTCACATAAAAATGTGGACAGTGGGAAAAAAATAAATGATAAAATCACCATAAGGTTGGCGCATAAAAAGCAAGGTTTTGAAATAAATAAATAAAACAGTTCTGAAGCATTTTCTCTTCGCTTGGTTGTAAAATATTGTAAAAATGAGGGTACCAGTCCAATAAAATAAAATGCTCAAACTATCATAAGGACACAAAATGACAGTCTTGAAATCCCAATTTTCAGAATGATTACATATATAAAAGAGAAATTTTAATAAATAAGCTTACTGTATTCTGCTAATCTCACTGAGCCTAAAATTTAAACTTTTTGAGGCGATTTTGCCTCGTCAGAGTAAACGTTCACCTCGAATGATTTCGAAATTCTGAACTAAACACTTTGAAATTTGCTCGACTGAAAGTAAGATTAAACTAGGCTGATTTAAATTAACTAATTACTAGGCAATACATGGCGAAATATTTTTAACTTCTGCTTCCTGTTCAAGATACAGTACTTGCTTCGAGCCGAACCAAACCTGTAATCATACATTTTTAGTATCTTGGTTTCAAAAGAATAAGTTTCACCGACAGGTTTTCTGATTTTTCCTCTTTTAAAACAGAACAAGAGTTCACATCTTTTTATCCTGCATTAAAATTATGAATATTGTATTTGCACAAACATTGAACAACGCATGGGCTTGACTTCCGGTTCATTCGTGCGAGAAAAGACGTCTTTGTGATCGGTGGGAAATTTTTAAAATCTTATCATGTAGGTGTCGCTAGAATAGACTAAATTTCAGATCACCGCAGAACAGGATTATTATTGTGGTTCATGAATCCATAAAAACAATTCTGATCATGATTAAAGGCTTGCTGGGTAATTCATCTGTCATTTATGTGCCCTCTCTGACCTCGATTAGAAAACATTTTCAATAGAGGTCGTCTGTTGATGACCTTGGCCCGGACAGGAATGCATTCATCGGCAAGGTAAATGAAAGCAGAAAGATCCTCTAATATTCGTACAGGGATCTACTGGCTTGTATCCCTTTTTTGCCACGTCAACGGTACTCAAGGGGGGATCTTCTTTGCGGAAATAGCTGCGGATCCTGTTCCCACTCGTTCTCTGGGTTCCGGTAAGATTGATCACAGGTCACCATTTCCTGCCGGGTTCAATATAGGACCACAGACAAGTACTGGTCACTTATTCCCTCCCCTCTTTAGCTCTTTTAATGAATGGAAACGATTTTCGCGGATATCAATCATTGCTCTCGTGTGCTACTGTACAGTATCCTTATGAGTTCTTGGGCGGCCCACTCAATTATTCCTTAACCTTCGGGAAATAAAAGGGGCATCTTTTCTTTATACAGAATGAGCATCACTCTGAAAATAAAGCTTCCAAAAACACCTGCGGAGATAGATTTTTTCCTTTTCGGTAGTTGGCCTTCATCATGCAATCGTAAACCCACAAAACCTTTTCAAATGTTGAATAATTTTTCTTCACGCCTTGTACAGCATTACTGAATAAAATACTTTTTTTTTAAAACAAGTGTCGAAAATTTAGATGAGGAGTGTTTAGAAACACGAGATTTGCTAGGAATCGGCAAAAGACCAATAATCCTGAAGGAATCTCAATGACCTTGAGTTCCCACAATCTTCCTCCCAAAAAACGCGTCCTCTAAATTTGCTACGCTAAAAAGACCTTGCAATCCAAGGATATTCCCCAAATAAATTCAAAGGATTACTTTCCGGAAAAAACAGTATATAAGC